ACAAATGAGTTGACAAAACACAACACAAACCTCTTAAGTGGCCGAAGAGGAAGACCTCCGATTTGATGATCACTTGACACAATTGGCACAGTTTGCAGGTGTCGTAGGGCTCGCATACGGGCGCGTCATCGTTGCCCACCGTCGAGGACTTGCGGACCGACAGCTCGAGTGCTTTTTGCCTGATTTGTGTCAACGTCTCTTCGTGTCGACGCGCGCTCTCGTCGTACTTCTGTTGGATCTTCTTCTGGAGCTCTTCGGTCTTCTGGGCGTACAATGCGTTCATCGCTGACTGACGCGACTGTCTCTCCAACGCCTGGCGTTGAAAAAGAGAGCATTAGTACAACACCACTACAAACACACAACAGGTGTATATACTGTATAAAACAGTCAACACCTGACCAGATATGTGCGGCCATTGCCCACAACCGAGCCGTACCTTCTGAGTGGCCATCTCCTGGCGCTCCTTCTCCTTCTCCTGGAACTGGAGCTCAATCTTGTGGTCCTTCTCGCGCCTCCTCTGCTGCAACTCCTGGACCCGCTTCTGGCGCTCGTCTTCCAACACCTTCCGCCGCTCCTCCACCGCCGCCTCCTTGGCCTTCGTCTCCTCGTGTCGGCGGTGGCGCTCGTCGTGCATGTCCTGCAGCCGTCGGGCCTCTCTGTCCTTCTCGCGGCTCAAGATGTCGTACTTCTTGTTCTGTGCCTCCAATTCATTGATGAACGCAATCTCATTCACTTTGCTGTCCTCGTCGTGCGCTTTGCGGACAATGCGGTTCAGCTGTTGCTGGCGTTTCTCTTCGGCCCTCTGATGCTTGGCCTCCATCGACGCCCTCATCGCCAGCTGTTGCTCCTCTTTCCACGCCTTCATCTCTTCCGCCTAATCGGTGCCATCGATTGGGATAACAAAACCATTAATACTATGTCCACATCATTGACACTCACACACACACGCCTCCCAACCCTCACACCCCTCTCCACTAACCCACTAAACCCCCCATCAGTGCTATTAATACTATTCAAAGCTCTGGAAATAGTCATAAAATAGGTCAAAACAGCTAAAAATAAATTAAAACACATTTCAAACACTAAATAAACTGCTGACAAACCCCTCCAACACCTCCCAAACCCCTCCCATAGGGTGACCACTAATGGATGCATACCTTTTTGAAAATACTCTTAAACTTCTGGGCCTTCTCTTCGAGGTACTTCTCGCGCGCCTCCTGTGCTTTGGCCAACTTCTCCTCGTGTTTCTTAATGGACTCCGTGGGCGAGGCGTTACGCTTACGGCTCGGCGACGAGAGCTTCTCGTGTATCTTCAGCGCCCGGCCCGGCGTCCGGAGCGAGTCGGCCGACTCCGACATCGAGCCCGACATCGGATCCCACGCGTCGGTCGTCTGTACGGCGGCGGTCACCGCGTAAACGGTTCCGTCGGCCGTTGTCTTGACCGCCGAGTCCGCGTCGTCCATAATGATCACCTTCGGTGGCGACACTTTGTATCGCTGGCGCCCCCGACCGACCACTTCCCACCCGTCAGCGTCTTTCGTCGTCGACCGCTTGTTCTTAGCGTTATTCGCGGCGACCGTTGCGTTGGCCGACGATTTGTGGCCACTTTTGCCGTTATTATTATTACTGATGTTATTGTTAGTGTTGTTCCCATTTCTCGGCGACAATATGTTGGACTGACTTCTGGCCAAACCTTTAGTGAACGCCATATTGTTTTTGTGGTTTTTATTGCTATTATTATTGTTGTTGTTATTAGTATCGCAATTGCGGACACTCTTCGCCCGCGAACTGTTCGTCTCTCTGGCGAACGACTTGTTCATCACCGGAACGGTTCCCTTAACCTCTTGTTTACGATTACTTATTGTTGTTGTTATTAGTATCGCAATTGCGGACACTCTTCGCCCGCGAACTGTTCGTCTCTCTGGCGAACGACTTGTTCATCACCGGAACGGTTCCCTTAACCTCTTGTTTACGATTACTATTATTATTGTTTTGATTGCTATTAACGTTACGATTATTATTATTACTATTAATGAACTGATTATTAGTTTTATTATTATTATTATTAATGAAAGACAAATCGGGTGTCGAGACAACTGTGCGCTTAAGACTCCCGGCATTAACTAAGGAACCGCTCTTTGGCGGCGAAACGGGTTGAGTGGTCACTGGTTTGACCGCCACTGACGGCGCGGGAACCGCTGGCGAAGCCGAGGCCACAGACCTTTTGACAGAAACTGCGGGAGCAGTAGCGGCACCGTTAAGAGCCTGTCCTGGTTTTGTCTGAGCTACCGGTGCTGTAGTAGTAGTAGTGATGGTAGTAATGGCCGCCACCGCCGGCGATGGTGTGGCCTATGACACGGTTTTCAGCTGCTGTTTCGACTGCGGATGCGATGATATGGTAGTACTCGACGGCGCCATTGGATGTAATCGCGATTTGAATGTCTGCGCCAACGGACTGTCGAATGAGATAATCAATGGTTAACTACAATACAGTCACTAAAAGTCACCATAAAAATCAATTAACAATACTTTAACGGCTTTGACGGACAGCTAGTGGTCATCGTATTGAGCGTCGGAGTGGACACCGAGGACTTGATGGTGGCTTTGGCCGCAATCGTAGGCTTGCCTGTCGGCGCTCTCACCCCACCGTCGATACTAACGGTACGCTCTTTGGCGGCAACGGGTGGGCGCTCTTCAGCGCTATCCGACGTCACCGATCCGTCGCTACCGATAGAGTCTAAGTCTTTGTCAGTTTCTTTGAGCGCCGGTTTAGGGGAACTGTTCTCCTTCTCACTGCCGCTGTCGCTGACTATCGACTCGTTGGCACTCTTCGCGTGACTATCAATCGGCGGGTCATTAGATAGCTTTTGGGGCGAACTCTGGGCACCATTTGGTGGCAAATCAGCTGAAGACACGGCAAAACGAGACAATTAGATAAAACAAAACCACACCAAACATCACCACAAACTGATCTCAAACCCCCCATTTTTGCTGAAGGTGTGCCAAAAGGTCATGTGTCCGGACACCGACTTGCGTACCTCCCAGGCCACAGACGTGGGCCTCTCGGGCGCCGGTTTGCTCTCGCAGTCGATGTTGAGGTGCAACCACTCGATGAGGGCCTGAAACTCACACCAATTCATTTTGTTTTGGTTCACTTGTTTCACAGTTTGAAGGGACGGTCTGTTTGTTAATAACTAACGGGATTTAAATAATTATTAATTCATTAATGATAAAAGTGAACAAAAATTACTATTAATTGGTTTACAATTTGTTAAACTTTTGCAATGACTGGCCATCGGCGACACTCATACTGATAGGTCGGGCGCTACTAAACAACCCTCACTGGCCATACACTGTCGCTGACCTCATGGCCACTAAACACACCTTCAAATATTCCGATTCTTATGACTAAAAATAATTTGTACAAAACACTCACAATAATAATTAATTTAAATGTTTATTTATTTTAAAATATTAATAATCACAACTATTCTTAATACGAACAATTTAAAAGTTCAATTAACATTTATATTTATTAAATAAATATTTCGTAACATGCAAATATGATGAAAACTCTTAGATTCCATAAAATGATCCATGGTGTTTTTCACGACAGAACGGCTTCCATTCGTCATCCACCTCATCAATATAGCATCGATCATTTGGACACAAATGTTGCTTTCTACAAATTTCTACTCTCTTGTCTTCCATCTCGTCATCCAACTCGTCATTTAACTCGTCATCATCCATTGGCATGAAAAAGTGACCAGGCACCAATGATAATAAAACCATCGCGCTCAACATTAATATTAGCGTATTCATTTCAAGCTGTGTTGTCGCAGTGTTAATGGCGGTTTATTACATAGCACAATATGGAAATTAATTAATTGGCTAGTGTGTTAAACTATTAATTATATGCTCTGCCAATGTGGTTTGACGTATTTTTCCAGTGTTGTAGTTCTGGAATAAGCTGCATTATTAATATCCGGAATTCACAAATAATAATATAATAAAATATAACATGATATTATGTTGGGTTTAGGCTTGCCAGACGTCCAGTTTTGGACTGGATTGTCCAGTTTTAGATGGTCTCGTCCAGTGTTCAGTGCAGAATAAAACTGGACAGTTATGTGTATAGTTTTGAAATATTTTGCAACACAATGAATATTTTGCTGCAATTTACCTTATTCGTGTGTTTATATGATTTATATGTAATATGGTGTGTATATTACAACAAATTAGGACCACATTATTTTGTAAAATATAAGTTTCATATAAACTATACCCAAATCTACAATTATATTTAATTTAAAATAATGTATCATTTAGTATACAAAAGTATAACTTAATTCAATGTATGCTTTATATTTCTAGTACTAGACAATATTGACAATAATACAATTATGCATTTATCATAATAAGTTACAATAAAAATTGAATTCCAATAGTCATTTCTAAGTTCAAGTAAAATATAAATGTTATTAATAATATAGTTAAATTCAAAAATGTTATTACAGTATATTAGTTATATAAAAATTTAAGTGATATTTTACTTCAAAAAGCAAAAATATGATTTAATTGCTATTATTAATAAAATTTTAGTTAATAAATTAACACGAAAAATTCATTATTGTCTTATCAGAATAGTATTAATTAATCTCTATAAATATTTTATATAAACCACAATAAAATGATTATGTTCAGTTTTTGTCCAGTTTTGGGGTTAATTTTCTAATGAGAATCCAGTTTTGGTTGAAATTAATCTGGCAACACTAGTTGGGTTGTTCTGAAGTAGAGCCTTCCCAATTAAAATTAGCTATATAAATTTTATAAATCAAAGTGTAAAATATTCGGAATCACGTGCAAAATGTGGATCTTCAAATTGCAATATCATATTCAATATTTTAAAGTTTTTAATTTTGAAATCTAGAATTTTTATACAATATATTATGGAAATAATATTGTTATAGGAGCCGTAGAACCGATGAGTGATTATGAGGGCGAACGGCCGGCGCCACCATTCTCACCGGTTCTACAGCTCCTATCGGCGGTCGTGCCCAACTCACCCGTTAGCTGAATAAATTAAAAATAGTTATTAACACATTAACAGACAAAAACATACAAACAAATTACAATGACAGCAAATAGATAACCAGAAACAAAAAGTAATAATCATTAATTCGCGCAGAAGCCACTTTTGTATAGTGAGGTTATATTTTATTATTAGTTACTAATGGTATTAAATATAAATTTGCCTATAAATCGTTATATTTATAACACATACAGTACTGACTGTTTATTATTACATTTCAACATGAGTATCCCTGATAATAACCAATTAAATTAATATATAATAATTATCAAAAGCAAACTAAAAGTTAAACAAAAAATATTATATTCTACGTGCACAAATGCCACAAGTAAACAGGTAAACAAATTTTTGAAATAGCCAAAATATCTTTTATACATTCTTTACATAAATTCTAAACAAAAAATATTTTTAACCACAATTCAGTATGAATAATGTGGTTTATAGGATTGTTAGGCTACCCCTCCCA